GTTAATATCCATCCCTAATATCCAACCTAAATACCCATCGCTAATATCCAACCTAAATACCCATCCCTAATATCCATCCCTAATAGCCAATCCTATTATCCAGCTCCAATATCCAACAGTACTATCCATCCCTAATTTCCAACCCTAATATCCATCCATCCCTAATATCCATTCCCAACATCCAACAGTAATATCCATCCCTAATTCCAACCCTAACATCCATCCCCCATATCCAACCTCACCCTCTCCTGACCCACTTCCCACCATTCCCTCGGGTGCCCAGCGATGGGACCCACGGAAACATCCCGGAGCTGCACCAGGGCAGGGTCAGGTTGGAATTTAGGGAAAAGATCTTCATCCAGAGGGTTGCTGGGCACTGGAATCCCCATTCCCAGGGAATCCAGAAGCGTTTGGACACGGTGGGATTTTGAGGTTGTCCAGGGCCCAGGAGTTGGACTGGACGATCCTTGTGGTCACCTCCAACTCAGGACATTTATTTCCATGATTCCATGATCCCTCCCCAAAAGGAACACGTGGGAATGGTCCATCCCGGAAGTGACTGATCCCAATCCTACCTTTTTACATCTGTCCCATGTGATTGGAGGCATCTCCCATCCCAGGGTGGGGTCCTGCCAGGGACAGCGGGGGCGGATCCGAGGAGACCTTCTCTTCTTCCCTTCTTTTCAGGCACGCAGCCTTTGGATTCAGATTCCGTTCTGTGAGGGAAAGGAGACGTCCAACATCCCCATTTTCAGATCATGGAACTCCAACATCCCTATTTTCACCTCATGGAGCTCCAACATCCCAATTTCCAGCTCACAGAACTCAAACATCCTTATTTTCCCATCATGGAACTCAAACATCCCTATTTTCACCTCATGGAACTCCAACATCCCTATTTTCCCATCATGGAACTCCAACATCCCAATTTCCACCTCGGGGAGCTCAAACATCCCTATTGTCTCATCATGGCACTCAACCACCCCTATTCTCAGCCCCTTAAGGTTGGAAAAGCCCCCTGAGTCCACAGAGTCCCACCACTCCCAAATATCTCCACCGACGGTGTTCCATCCCCGTGTCCCTGGGCTCCGCCCACAGGACTGACCTCGGACCTGCTGCTCCAGGCTGAGGATGACGGCCACGGCCTGGTGGAGGATGAGGAGCTTGGTCTGGGGCTTGTCACTCTTGAGGTGGAGCTGCACCATGCGGCCCAGCTCCTTGAAGGCCTCGTTGATGTCGCGCACGCGCAGCCGCTCCCGCGCGTTGTTGGCCATGCGCCGCTCCTTCTCCCGCTCCGCCTTCTGCTCCGGGGTCAGGTCCTCGTCGTCGTTATTGCTGCGGGACGGAAGGCACACGGCATTTTCGAACGGCGGGCAATCGGCCAGAAGCTCCACAGTCAAGGATTCCCAAGCCACTCGTTGTTCCAACCAAAGCTGGGCCGGGGATTTGAGGAGGAAGGGTTTGGTGTGGAGACTTTGCAAGGTGAGAATTCTGAGCTGTTTATCCAAAGCTTTTTGTTGCAACAGCGAATTACTTAGGTTGGAAAAGGCCTCTGAGGCCATGGGGTCCAACACCAGCCCATGTCCCCAAGTGCCACATCCACACGGCTTAAAATCCCTCCAGGAATGGGGATTCCACCCCTGCCCTGGGCAGCCTCTCCCAGGGCTTCAATCCCAAAGTTTGGGATTTGGGAGAACCCTTCTCTGCCACTGA